CCCGCAGTCCCGGCGCTGACGCTCGCACGCAGTACGCGGGCCGCTCTTTGCGGGCGGCGTGTGCGGTTCTTTCTGCTCGGTCGTCTCGGTTGCTTTTCTGTTGTGGCAAAACGGGCGGCATGAACTTTGCCGCCTTGGCCGTTTCTGGGCGCGTGGGGCGGCACTGCGCCTGCGCCGGCTCGTGAAGGCGGAGCTGCGCCGCCGGGCGGGCGAGGGCGATTCGGCGGAGACGCCGCCTCGCTGGGGCGGGTGTCGGAAGTTTGTTTTCTGGCCTTGGACATGGATGCGTGAACCGTCACCGGATCAGGGCGCTTTCGAACGGAAAGGGGACGGCCGAACCGCCTGGCGAGCTGGCGTCGGGGGTGGCGGCGGCGCGTTTGAGTGCGGGGCCCGCACCGCGGTCCTCATCGCCGGCACCTGGGGGCCGCCGGGTCGAAACCGGGTTCTAACGCGGTGGGGCGGGGCGCAGCCCCTGGCCGGCATTTGCATCTGCAACAAGGTCCAGGTGCGGCGGGTGGGAGGCCACGCACCGAGCGCCGCCGCTGCGGGAGGGCTTCCTGGCGGAGACGGCGAGTCGTTACTGTCGTCGTACCTCGATTCCAGGGCGCACCTTTGCACAGGTGCGAAGGACCGGACCGCGGGCAGCAGCCTGGTTAGAGGAGCCGCTGAGCAGGTGCACGGGAGGGGCGGGGAGAGACGCCACCCGCTGCAGCAGGTGGCAGCGGGGCTCGGCGAGCCCCGTGCGGGGAGAGACCCGGATCCTTCCGGTTTATAGGGGAGGCTGAGGCTCGTCCTCCGCAAAGGCCGAGCCCCGGGCGGCGGAATCGTGGCGTTGCTTGTGTGGCGACTGGACGCCAGTAGGCTTTGCTGGCGTCTCGGAGGCTTCCAGATTCAATTGTGTGTCGCCAGGCGGAGACTCGAGCGTAGACGCCAGCACGCCCAATGCGTGGGTTAAATGCACGTGCAGCCGTCGTCACGGGGCACGCAAAGCGAATGCGAAGCGGTGTGAGATGACCGAATTAGCTGTAGCAAGCTAGCGCCTCGGTAGGTTACCTTGTGCATCCCGCCTCGGAAACTCTGATTCAGAGCCACATCGTAAGGGTCTCCTGTGGCGACCGTTTGCTTTCGGTCCTGTGGACCGCAGTAGGACGTAGCCGGAGGTCTTTAAGACGGGGGATGTCGTTAGGTGTGTCTTTTTAGGAAGGTCATCATGGAGCAAAGAATTTTAGAAGCTGTCGAAACTCAGAAAAGATGGTAACGTGACTTGGAGCAGAGTGCAGGTGGATGCAAACGACGTCCTAGCCTGCCCGTGAGAGCCTGCGGCCGCGCCTGCGCGCTGGACACGCAGCCCCCGCCCCACCGCGTCCGCAAGGCCCGCGCGGCCTGGCCTGCCCGCCCCGCAGTGCTCGGCTGCTGGTTCGCTGTGCTGGGCTCGCGGGCGCCGCTCGGTTCTGCGTCGGTTCCGAGCTCTCGGCGTTTCGGCACCGTGGTTGTGACGCCCTGTCTGGAAGACTGGTGCCACCTGCCTGCCAGCTCCTGATTCTTTGGCATCTCAGTTTGAGTGTTATTAGAGGCAGTCCTCTGTAGTATGTAAGTCAGTTCCTGCTTTTTTTTTAGTGAGAACATTCTGCTTGTTTCTGTCATTGTGCTTTTTAAAAGTCGTAGTTGTAATTTTATTTGCCTTTTCCCTCGGGGCTAATATTTGCTGAGTGCTCACCAGGTGCCAGGTGCTTTTTAAGCACTCTGTGTGTTTGCATTGGCTCCTCACAGTCGACCTGTGCAGTAGGTTATTCGAGGTGTGTTGCAGACGTAGACAGGAGTCACAGGTTGCGTGGTTTGCTGAAAGTTACTTGTCCGGAATGTGAAGGAGTTGGGTTCAGGCAGCTGAGCTCTGAGGCCTCGACCCTGAAGGATGTGAGGACACTGTTTTCTACTCCGTGGCGGGGCGAGTGGGTGTTAATGCCTCGTGCCCATCCTGGCCACCAGCAGGCACTTGAAGACGTGGAGGGAATTGCAGCAAATGCGCGAGCAGCGAGGGAGTAGTTTAGATAGAGACGAATGGCTCTGCCACTTTTCTTAGGAGGCAAAGTAGACGGTGGTGCCCCTCGCCAAGAATGAAATTATGGGACGTGAATGATGAGGCAGAAGAGATGGTATTAGTTTGGTGTGTTCAGTGTAAGCTGCACATGGAACTGTGGGAAGATCCAGGAGGACACCGTATGTATGTAGAAGAGTCTTGGTGGGAAACTTGCCACAGTGCCCTGTTTCATATATGTACACACGTGCATGTGCAAATACATAAAATTTCCAAATGGGAAAGAATGAACTGGTCACCAACATCTCAATTCTATTAGCACTCTGTTCCTTCTGTGTCTGTTTATAATACATCAACTGAAAACGTAAATCTTATGTTAAAATGAGTTTTCCCTTTAACCGTAGCACAGTGCCCAGTCCACAAGAAGCACTTAAGTTTGTTGAACATAGAGATGGTTGCTTTAAACTGTGTCAGGAAAGATTAAAAAGATATATAATTGCCTGGAAGTTTATTTTAGAATCTCAAGTAAGTTTAAATGTAACGTTGTAGAAATGGTCAGATGTGATTGTGTACATTGAGTGTTGTTTTCATAATTATTTCCTCTCTAGGAAAAAAAAATGACTGGGAGAGCCAGAGCAAGAGCGAGAGGAAGGGCCCGGGGTCAGGAGACGGTGCAACACGTGGGTGCCGCTGCTGTGAGTGCTGTACCACCCCTAACTATGGAAAATGTCTTTGAACCTTTATCAGCCGAGGCTGTGGAAAATAAATTAAAAACAGTCTATGGAGGAGATAGGAAGTGAGCAAGTGAGATCATGTTCTGTTTCCTGAGGATAGTAGAAGTGGATTCTTGACCTTATTTGGTGACTCTTCTCTCCAAGAAATTTCTTTTTAAAAATATTCGATTACTAACTTAGATTGATGTTGTTTGAATGTGACCTCTTGACAAAAAAGGAACGCTGTTCTTTACTTGCATGTAACTACAGAGTCAGCAACCTGGTTGTATTCAGCCTAGACCTCAGCAGCCACCGGCAGAGGGGGAGTTAGTTGGCCGTGGACGGCAGAGAGGAGGAACAGTAGGAGCAACAGCCAAGTCACAAGGTGAGGAGAGCACAGCGAGTCTGTGCGTGTGTGTAGTGTTAAATGTGGAGTAGTAAGTAGTGCTCAGGCCCTTTCCGTGAGGGTCCCACAGAATAACTTAATAACATTTCTCTTAACCATGCAGCTGCTGTGGGTGGAGTGCCACGCGATTTCTTTTCTCCCTGAAAATGAAAAAGAGCCTCGACATGACAGGGCCCTACATGAGCTATTACATGAGCCATTTTTAGAACTTTTTTCTTCATATCTTTAGTGATTTCATCAAAAGCTGACCAACTTTATAACCGATTTATAAAACACATTGTCACGTGTTGTATCGGTTAACCTTGTTTCTAAAATGCAAAAACTGAGGACAAAGTTGTGACAATGGGTGGAGTCAGAGCATCAGTTCTGATTCCAAAAATTGTGCTTTTTCACTGAATTGGTACAAAAATGAATTATTTGGATTCTTGATGTAATAGTCTCCTGTAGTTATTAACTTTGGCTTTTGTATAGGAAAAAACATATAAAGAAACAGACACACACACTGGGGAAACTGGTTTAATAAAGTTGACATTTTAACTCTGGGATGGCTGTGGGGAATGGGCTGTTCAGTAAATAGTGTTGGGGCACACGGCTGCTTAGAAAGCAGAGCTGGTTAATTTATTCCTTGCATTAAGTTCCCTGTACTTCAAATACTTAACCATAATTTAATGAAATTCCTTAACATCAGGGGAAAAAATGGATGAATGCTAAGATAACCTCGAAGTAGTATAAATTGCACTATGACAAATACTGTCAATGTTGAAGGACGTATAATAACATGAAAACTTGCCAAAACGACAGAAGAGCAACTTCCTCTGATACTCAGACCATGCTCATAAATCCATAATATTAGCTATCTGGTGGGAAAGTGAGCAAAGGAAATGAAAAGACAGTGCACTGAAAAATACAAAGGCTAATGGAAATATTAAGCCTTTTGATTAAAAAATGTACATTAAATTGGAATATTTTTTTACCTGCTTCTCCATTGTATTTTTTGCTTATGTTGGTAATTATAGAACGGGCACTGGTGTCCCTGATGGCATTGTACGATTGTACTGACATTTGGATAGTGTTTTATAATGTATAGTGACTATAATGGTACCCTTTTATCAGTAGTTTGACTCCTGGAAGTGTCAGGTGTTCAACAGACACTGGAGGTAAGTACAACATGGTTGTGTGAGGGTATTAACTCAATACTTAATACCAAAAAACTGGAAACACCTCTTAACCGACAAGAGTTGGATAAAACTATTGTACTTTAACGATAGCGTACCATTTGGCCATTTTCAAGAATGTAGGGACCTGCCCCTGCTATGCCAAATGAAAACAAGTTGTAAAACAGCATTATCTTCGTGTATTTAATAACTACATGTATATATATGTTTTCTGTATTTATACATAAATTCTAAAAGTTTTTGAAACTTAGATTTATTGTTCACCTATTCAGTTATATACAGAAAAATTTTATTGAATTAAAACTTGGTACAAATATATGTGCTAAAGCTGTGTAAGAAACATTTTCTTAAAATGCAGCCTTACAATGCACATACAACTGTGGGAAATACTTTAATATATTAAATGTTTTATGCATCAGTCTTCACTAATAATGATTTTTTTAAAAAGTTACTCATGATCTTAGATTTAATTTATGAAACACAATTCCCTATCTATAAAAAGGTGGTATCTGCCTTTAGAGGTAAAGATCATTGTGAGATTAAATAACATGTAGGACAACAAACCAAGTCCCTATTTTGTCATCTTTCACTGCTCTTGTGGGGATTATTCTGAGAATTGCTTGTCACAGTAAATGTTCAGGTACCCACTGTATTTTAGACGTGAATATGACAAGTTTAACAGATTTATTGTTAGCGAGACATTGTTTGAACCCTGACTTTCATTCTGTAAAGGGCGTGGATACACTGACGGATCCTTAAATAGCACAGTGGCGAGGACTGGTTTGTATTTGGAGTAAAATCACTCTGGCAGCTGCATGTAAGGGGGAATTGGCAAGGTCGCCATGCTTACCATTCTGAAATCTGTGCTCTGTAGAATGACACTTAAGCTTTGGCTAAATGTACTATAATTTAACAGTACTATAAAGAGTACTGTATGTAGAAAGGGGAACAGATTTCATCATTGTTTATTTTCAGAAACTAACAAGTGAGTTTTTGCATCCAGAACTGAATTTTTCTAAGACAAATTAAAATTTTTCAGAGAAAAATTTCAAACAAGCTTTTATGACCCCTTATTGTCATCAGATTGAACTCAGGAAGCATTACTTATTACTCACCCACTGCCATAGATACTTTAAACTGGAAGTCTTCAGGATGAAAAGCTCACTGAGGGAAACAAATATGAACAGTTACATGTTTAAAGAATTTTTAAATAGAGCCCTTGCAAATCATGAGGTACAGAAACTAGTACCTACTAAAGTGCTTTCTTTGTAAGTGATATTTAAAACTCATTACATGCCTGTAAAGTTTATTATCCTCAGTTTTTTAGGTGAAAAAACTGAAGCTCTCACATTAAATAACTTGTTTCCAAAGTATATCAGGAACTGAAATATTTTGTTTAAGCCACCGTTTAATCTCAAATGAGGCGGTTCTCGTGTTTGTGATCAGAAGAGAATTGGACTGTTTGATCTTTTTGTTCTTTTGTCCTGAGTCTGTGACTTCCATCATTAAGACTTATGCTTGTTTCAGAATGGCCAGCTGAGCCCCTCCTGCCACTTTATCCAGGTTGTAGATGCCACGGGCAGGACAGGGCACAGAACACAGAAAGCACTAGTTAGCATTTGCTCTCCTCTGAAGTTTTCCCAAAAATATCATCCTACAGTTTCTGCTTAACTCTGTTAGGCCATGCTTAGTTGCAGGGAGTGTGGAAATGTTAGTCTGTTTGCATATATTACTCCCAAAATAAAATGGTTTTTAGAGAAGAATGAGAGATTGGTTATGACTAATTAGCTGATAGTCTCTTCTCTGCAAGATAACATACCTGTTAACTGACAGCTAGAATTTTAACACTTGACTGCAAAGCCCATATTCATTCTTTGGCCCACATCATACTGTTGATTTCACATACTTAATTATATGCATTGTGAAAATTGAATGACTTAATAATTTAGTTTCTTATAACCACAGCTTTTGGAACTAAGCATGAACCGATTAATCAGTACCTTATTACCTATCCCAGGATGAGATGTGTATCATGGGGGTGGGGTATGCACAGGTGCACCCGTCCATTCTTATGATTCTCAGGGCAATTAAATAGTAAGGAAGTTACATCTTAGACTTAGGTTTTCAAATCAAGGTTATAGATTTAAACCCTTAAATTACCAATTTCTGGAGCTATAATTGCATCATGACAGATTTTGGAAAATACTAATGTCAAGGCCCCTAGATGGTTATCAGACTTATAGAAAAATAATTTCTTGGTCAATAAACATGTGCTCCTGAGTTCTTGCATTACAGTCTAGTCATCCTGATCTTTTAAAGATGTGTATCTCTTGAAAGGGAGTAACTGTTTGTCTAGGGTTGTGACAAGAAAGACTTTATGAATTAAGTTATAACTAGGAAACTATTCTACTGTTTGGCAGATACATCCTCAGACATTTTGATAGGATTGTTATGTATTATCTTGCATAGCTCAATATTCTTTGGGCTACATATAGTAGTGCTATGGGAATTAATACTATTATTTATGTTTTATATTGCCCAGGTATATAATTTTCTCTTTTTTTTTTTTTTTTTTAAGAACTCCAGATATCTGCTGGATTTCAGGAGTTATCATTAGCAGAGAGAGGAGGTCGTCGTAGAGATTTTCACGATCTCGGTGTGAATACAAGACAGAACCTAGACCATGTTAAAGAATCAAAAACAGGTAGGTTAATTATGAATACAGTTTTATGAGATTACTTCTCAAGTACACAGGACAGTGAATTGAGGCACTTTATTTTACATGTTTGTTTGTACGATGCATTACTAGGAAGAAAAAACATGTTTAGTCAAGGATCTGGCGTGGCTTTTCCATTTTCCTTTCTCTTTTGGCTTTGATGAAATAGGTTATAGGTGTTTTGTTTTAAGAGACAGGGTGTTGCTCTGTTGCCCAGGCTGGAGTGCAGGGGTGTGATCACAGCTCACTGAAACCTCCACCACCTGGGGTCAAGCAATCCTCCTGCCTCAGCCTCCCAAGTAGCTGGGACTACAAATGCTTCCCACCATGCCCAACTAATTTTTATCTTTTGTAGAGAAGGGGTCTCACTATGTTGCCCAGGCTGATCCTGGGCTTATGTGATCCTCTCACCTTGGCTTCCCAAAGTGCTGAGATTAAAGGTGTGAGCACCCAGCCTATAGATGTCGTTAACTGCATATTTTAAAATGTCTCATTAAATACTCTGTAGATCATTTTTCTTTTAAAACTCTTTGCCATGAAGATATTTGCTTGGTTGCATTGTAAATTACTTAGTCTAAGGAGGATTTATTTCTAAATATATGATTCTTTAGGAAATCAGCTAAAGAGATAGGCTGGTGGTCCCCAAAGTCAGACATTGGAGAACTTTCATGTGGTCTGCTGCACTAGCTTTGTATTTACAGAACTGTGTCTGCCTTGTCCTGGTAGGAAAGATTTCAAGGCAGAATAAACTTGATATTTTGTTGATTGACTGTGACTGACTTTTCAGGTTCTTCGGGAATTACAGTAAGGTTAAGCACTAACCATTTCCGGTTGACATCGCGTCCCCAGTGGGCCTTGTATCAGTACCACATTGACTATAACCCACTGATGGAAGCCAGAAGACTCCGTTCAGCTCTTCTTTTTCAACACGAAGATCTAATTGGAAGGTGTCATGCTTTTGATGGAACAATATTATTTTTACCTAAAAGACTACAGCAAAAGGTTATTTCAAATGTCTGGATGGGGCGAGGGACATGGGGGATTTCCACTTCAAAGCAGAACTGCCACAACATAGGGTAGGTCAGATGGCTTTCAGAGAGACCCCAGGGGTCTTCTGTCTAATAAGACTGGTCATAAACCCAGAGGATACTTTGGCATTATTTTATCATTCTGAAATCAACGTCAGTAACTTAATGATTACAATTGAATCTTAATACAGACACTTAGCCGTTCTTTTCTCATAGCTGTTTTTTAAAAATTCCATTTAAAATTTTTGTGTACTTTTCAGTGTTGCTTTATTAAATAGGCATGATATGATTGGGCTTAGTTTTCCTTTAAGAATTAAAAGTTTGGTTTTCCACCTCTCTGGCTTTAGGTTACGGAAGTTTTTAGTCAGACCCGCAATGGAGAGCACGTGAGGATAACGATCACTTTAACAAACGAACTTCCACCCACATCGCCAACTTGTTTGCAGTTCTATAATATTATTTTTAGGAGGTATGTTTGTGTTTTGTTTTCAACATTTTATTAAGAAAAATTTAAAGCAAAAGTTGGAAGAACTGAAAGTTTAATTACCTGTATACTTTATTACCTAGATTCTGCGACGTTTGGTTTCTCTGTATTGTGATGGTCATTTAAGGTGTGGTTTACTGATGTAGCATTCATTGACTTGCTCTAAGCAAGTATTCTGTCTTTAGCTTCCCTATCGTGTTGACATCAGATCTTTCCCATAACTGTCTGCGCTTGTGCTAAGAACACAGTATGCTCAGGAGCTTGTTGCCGACTGTGTATTCCTTCTGCCCGCAGTGGGTACTTGATCAGGAAGAGGGGCAGGGTTGGGGCTGTTCGGGTTACTTGTTCCACCACAGGAGACATGCGTGCTTGATCCTTCACTTTCAGTGTATATACCACGTTTGCCAAATCCCAAATCAAGACACGTGCTCTGCAAAGAATTTTTTTTGCAGAGGGATGAGAAAGAGTCTAGGTGAGGCTGAAATTTGCATTAGAATTGTGGGGTATAATACTTGGGTTTGTAATTTACCTTTTTAAGTTGGTTATAAGATAGCTGTCACTGATGATAGGACAATTCATTTTGATAGATACTTGTTTTATGTTAATGTAACTGGTAGATTTATTTTTCTCTAAATGAGAGGTTGGCAAACTTTTCTTTGCAAAGGGCCAGACAGTAAACATTTTAGGCTTTTCAGGCCATGTGGTCTCAGTTGCAGCTATTCAGGTCTGCTGCTGTACTGTGAAAGCAGCGTGGGCAATATGTAAATGAACAGTCCTGGCTGTGTTCTGGTAAAACTGTCGATGGACACCAAAACTTGAATTTCATATAAATCATGTATCATGAAATAATCTTTTGATTTTTTTCTAACCTTTAAGAAATTTGAAAACCATTGTTAGCTCATAGGCCATGAAACAACCAGCAGGTAGGGTGGATTTCGCCTGGCCAAAGACCATAGTTTGCCAACCTCTACTCTAAATAGCATGCCATTCTGATTGCAGCATTAGAGATACTTATCAATATTCAGTTTTTTAACTATTCTGACCTTTTTCTAGGCTTTTGAAAATCATGAATTTGCAACAAATTGGACGGAATTATTATAACCCAAGTGACCCAATTGATATTCCAAATCATAGGTTTGTATGAAGTGGAAAGTTGCCTATTCCTTAGGCTTAATCACAAACTTTGAAAATGATATTCCAATTTGAAATGATCAAATTTGCTGCCCTGACTATTAATAGTACCCATCACGTTAAATGAACATTTAACTTGGCTTGAATAATAATGACACATCCCAGAAAACTTGGATTTAAAAAAAAATCACATAATTTATCTGTCACTGGGAAAGCATGTATAGTTGTGCAATGCTATTAATGAGTTTGTATTTTGCTCTTAGGTAATAAAATTCATCAGTTAATGTGGTGTATCAAGATCGCAGCCTAAGTGCTTTAGGTTTCTTATAATAATTGTAGGTGCTTTCAGTGAGATTGGCAGCTTTTTGAAGTCTTAGGCCAGTGTAGCAAATAGTTTAATAAAGTTAGTGTATTTATGTAAAATGGAACTTATTATAATTATTGTATATCGCAGGTCTTGAAAAGACAAATCTTTATCTGGAACCATGTAAAAATCTAGAAATAAGTGAATTAACTCATTCAAAAACTTTGTAGTTTAGACCAAGTTAATGAAGATGAAAAACATAAATATGTACAAAAACCCTTCTGGATATTTACAGAGGTTACTTCATGACTTGCATTTTATTTGACAGGTTGGTGATTTGGCCTGGCTTCACTACTTCCATTCTTCAGTATGAAAACAACATCATGCTTTGCACTGATGTTAGTCATAAAGTCCTTCGAAGTGAGACTGTTCTAGATTTCATGCTCAACTTTTATCATCAAACTGAAGAACATAAATTTCAAGAACAAGTTTCTAAAGAACTAATAGGTTTAATTGTTCTTACCAAGTAAGACTGCTTTTTTAAAATGCAAATCTTTTTGCAAGTCTTAAAATATTGTAGCTTTCTAGCCTACAACGTTAGAAAGAAAATAGAGTTTAAAGTCGAGTGGTGGGAATAGCATAGAAAAGGGGAGGGATATTTGTCACCTTTGCCAAGATCAAAGTTTTGGGAACGTAACTCATTTGGAAAGAACAAATATCTAATGATTATCATCCTTTCTACTTATTTTCTGATAGCAGTTTAGGCATTTCCCCCACCTATCTGGCATAGTCTGTAAGAAATCCTTTTCCCTTTCTCTTTCCATAGCATTGTATGTATAGCTAGGCGATTGTAAATTGTAGAGAATACATGCTGTCTAGTCCGTTTTTAATATCAGCTCTCCGCATGCCATCAAATGCAGTCAGATCTCAGTCATCCCACAGGTATAACAATAAGACATACAGAGTGGACGACATTGACTGGGACCAGAACCCAAAGAGCACCTTTAAGAAAGCTGACGGCACTGATGTCAGCTTCTTGGAGTACTACAGGAAGGTGAGACACCAGCACCAGTGTTACCCTCTTCATCTGAAGTATTTAGAGCTCAGTGGGAATCTGAAATATCCTCACATTTTTCTAGCAGTTGTGTGCACATTTGGAACAAATTGTTTTTAAAGCTGTATATAAATATGTTTATTAGGGCAGTCCCAGCATAATTGATTTTAACTCATCAGATTATTAAAATGCCTCCTTTTACTTGGTACAGTTCACATAATGACAGGTCCCCTCTCCTGGTTCCCTTTCCCAGTACAGTGAAAGCTTTGAATTGAAGCATGTGGAGGACAAGTAGGTCCAATAACAGTTGGAAATACGAGCTATCAGCTTACCATATTGTCTCTCACTGTATAATCAGCATTTTCTTATCTTCACCTGGAGGGGTGGTTTGAACCCTCAATACCGGTTGTGCTAAATCTACTGCCTGCGAGTTAACTCTTTTGATTTACATATTGGCAAAATTCGGATAGGCTTGTTTAGTTCACATAGGCTAGACCAGTTTATTGGGTGATCCTCAAACATAGTTTTATAAAGATTCTAGTTTTTGTCATAGTAATCACCAAATTGAAAAGATCCCGAGAGGCAAATCGCAGCAAGAACCAGTACCGGCTAGAAGAAAATAAAGTGTTTATACAGAAATGCATACTAACATTGTTTTAGTATTCAGAGATGAACAGATCTGGCCCCTAAATCCCCAGGGATTTAGAAGGTCATATTCCGTTCGATGTGCTGTTAAAAGTACAGGAAAATTATTTCTAGAAAACAGTATGAATTAAAATAGTAAACTTATCTCTGAAGTGCTAAAACTCATCACTTATTTTCCACTGTTAGTAGGATATATCCTGTTTCTAAAAATCAAGATAAATGAGCTATTGCATATTTATATTTTGTGTGGAAAATACACATTTACTAGTAGCCTTTGTGCTGCTGCTCCGGTGCGCTGCCGTGACTGAACGCATCAGAGTCCGCTGCCAAGGGGAGGGTTCTCTGAGAAGTTGCGTGAAGGGCTGATCTTATTCCTGGTAAAGTGAAAACAGGCCAGGAGTCATCTCAGCTTGATTTTCCTACCACTGTTTGCAACCTCTGTACTCCTTGAGGACTCCAACCATGCCTAACCTAGATGCTTCTGGGTGTCAGAGGTTACTGTGAGAAATGGGCTGTGGCATTTTCTGTTTAATGATCACTATTGGGGATGGGAGGAGTTGGTGTATGTTAGCAGCAAATCTAAAGGAAGCATCAGTTGAAAATGATGATTTAAACCTGAAGCAAGGTCAGGGAAAATCCTCCCCTTCCCTGACTAGTAGTGACCATCACCTGCCAGCCCATTCTTCTCTAATTTTTTTTTTTTTTTTTTTTAACTTACAAGCTCTGCCCCAGGCCCCTGCTACTGTGTGTTTAGCCCCTAGATGATCTCTAATCTTGGCTTTGCCCAAGCTTCCAGCATATGATATGTTGATAATTCTCACATTTCTAGCTCCAATCCAGACATGTCTAAGCTCAACTCCTGGTGGTTCTGAGTATTTGGATGTCTCAAAGATAACCTCACATGCTGCCAGCACTGAATGGATTATATCCCCCCAAGCTGGCCCCATTCAGTGTTCTTGATCAATGCAGGGAAAATAACTTCCACAAAGGTGGAGATTTTGTAGTTTATGTACTCCCCCAGTGCCTAAGTAGGCACTCAGGTGTTTGAATAAACAAATAAGTGATGGATAATTCAAACCTCAGACTGACCTCCATGGCTTCTCCATTGCCTTCTGTAACTCATTGCTTGTCAAACTAGCACTCTATCTTGTTATCTGAAATCCTTTCATTTTTCTCCTTTTCTAAGTGACTGTTGTCTTTCTGGGCCTCATTTTTCTAATTCATTCAACTAGTCGCTTAGTATTCATTCTGCTTTCTGATCCATTTTCAAACTCATACACATCCGACGTTCTTCTTCTACCCAAAGGAATTAGGTGACTTCCCATTCGTTGCTCCTGCATCTGGTTAAGTATGTTGGTCTTTATCCAGTGAGACCCTGAATGAAGCAGCCCCTGCTGCTGCTTCATCCCCGTGGCTTGTGCCCCACCCCAACCTCCTTAGCAGCCCAGGGCTCTTTCCCAGGCCGTCCTCCTTGCCGACACTCTGCACGCTGGGATCTTACCCTTGTGCTTCAGGTCTCAGCTCAGGTGCTTTCTGAAAGGAAGACTCTGTCACAACTAAGGATAATCAAGTGTCTTGAGTAGAAATGTAGTTTTGGTAGTAAGTGGTGATTTGGGATCGAAGATAATACCTAGACAACATTCAGCAGGAGAGAAGGGCCTTTGGAAGGGAAGATCACAGTCAGTAGGTTTTTTTTTTTTTTTTTGAGACAGAGTCTCACTCTTTTGCCTGGGCCAGAGTGAGTGCCGTGGCGTCAGCCTGGCTCACAGCAACCTCACACTCCTGGGCTCAAGCAATCCTTCTGCCTCAGCCTCCCGAGTAGCTGGGACTCCAGGCATACGCCACCATGCCCAGCTAATTTTTTCTGTATATTTTTAGTTGGCAAATTAATTTATTTTCTATTTTTAGTAGAGACGGGGTCTTGCTCTTGCTCAGGCTGGTCTTGAACTCCTGAGCTCTAACAATCTGCCCGCCTCGACCTCCCGGAGTGCTAGGATTACAGGCGTGAGCCACCGCGCCCAGCCACAGTCAGTAGGTTTTAAGAAGGTTTAACAATAATGTCAAATAGAAATTAGGATGCTGTTTCTTAGCTGTAGAGACAACATTAAAAAGAATTGACAGGGTGTTTGTTTAGGCCCTAAGAGTTTAGACAGGAAGGATCCCCAAGTTCCGTGTCAGGAACTATACACTTAAGGCCTTTGGGTGAAAGGGGGTGAGAGTAGGAACACCTCTCAAATTACTGCCACACTTCTGCCACGTGTCCCAAGTAAGTGATGTGATGTGAAGGGGGGAACTGTTATCAGACCCCTAATAAAATAGCGTGATGAAATAAGTAGTATAGCCACATGAAGCAGAGGTCAGGTATGAGTGTTCTACTGGAAATTTTCTTGTTTGAAATAAGAAAATTAACTATTTTTCCTGGATGGAAAGAAAGTCGAGGACAGGCTAGAATTTGTGGTTTCTTAATTCACAAGGGTTGTAATAGGTGGCCAGGACCTTGTCATGGGATAGGAACAAGAAACGGGCAGGTGCCCCTTAGTCTTGCTGTCTCCAGCCCCTCGGGCTGTGGCCTGCTAGGAAACCGGCTGCACCTCACTGAGCTGCGCACCACCCCCCACCCCTGGTCCGTGGGGAAATTGTCTTCCATGAAACCAGTCCCTGGTGTCAAAAAGGTTAGCGACACCCCTGCCTTAGTCCATTGATGAGAGACCGAGACTATGGAAATGGCCACAGTGAGGTTCCTTTTGTCCGCTCAGTGGAGATGTGCGATTTTATTAAATGAAAAGCCATATGTGAATTAGGGTGTTAAAAAGATCTACTGTCAGTGAGATACAGGAGAAGGTGGGGAAGAGAGGGTCTTTAAGACACAGGGCCAGAAGCTCTAGTGAGGATAACTCGTTTGAAGTCTGTTATGGTTCTAGAATCACAGAGCTGAGCTGGAGGCCAGAGAGCTCGTCTTGTAAGGACGTTGAATCGCCACTGTCATTATGTTTCGTCACTTCACAAACTGCAAAAGCATATTTTAGGCAGTGATTCCGTATGGGGAATCTTGATACTGCTTAATTTAAATTTGGCTTCTTGAAAATATGGAGATATTATAAGAACTTTCCTGATTAAAAACGTTCTGTAGCATAGAAACCTTTTCCCTTCCCCTATTTATGCTTATCGTGAGATGGCTTTTAGTGAGAACATGTAAGTTCTCACCACATGCGGTTTTAGAGGAATTATGCTGTGGTGAAGACACAGTCACACAGACTATTTCTAAACCAAAACGTCAAAAAATGAAGCAAACAGAACTCTGACTGAAAGTCAAGACTCAGAACCTTACTGTCCTTGATGATCAAGGTTTTGGAACAAAAGATGAGATACTCAGTAAAGCATATAAATCACAACCTGTTTTAGGAAGACTAAAAAATACATTTTTTTAAAACTTTATTTGGGAGCGGTTACCAGCCTTGCTATTGGCATCAATTCTTTATTTAAAACAAACAAACAAAAAACCTTTTTGCCCGCTGAAATGAGTACTCAAGGCATTTGCTGTGAACAATGACGCTTTCTCTCGCGAGCAGCAATACAACCAAGAGATCACCGACTTGAAGCAGCCGGTCTTGGTCAGCCAGCCCAAGAGGAGGAGGGGGCCTGGGGGCACATTGCCGGGGCCTGCGATGCTCATTCCCGAGCTCTGCTACCTGACAGGTACCCTTGGATTTTGTTTGCTTGGAAGGAAACTGGTGGATTAGTTACCCGTTCTTCTCAGAAGTCCTTCCACATTCCTTGACTCCCCCCTCTCTCGGCTCCACCTCCGAAAGCTCTTTTGTTAAAGCTGCTGCTTCCCCTTGGAATTAATTCTCCTCTTTCACTCGTCACCAGCCCACACTCCAAATGTTGTTTAGACCTGATCGTTATTTCTTTAACCATATGCCTAAGTATAAATATATTTTATTTAAAGGTCTAACTGATAAAATGCGTAATGACTTTAATGTGATGAAAGACTTAGCTGTTCATACAAGACTAACTCCGGAACAAAGGCAGCGTGAAGTAGGAAGACTCATTGACTACATTCATAAGTAAGTCTCGGTTTCACTAGGAGACAGTTTCAGTTTTTTCTTTAGTATTTTATGTGGGTTTTGTGGGGGTGACTTCCTTCAGGGGGAGTTGACAGAAAGTAACTTTCTCCTTTAGTATTTGCAGTATTTGGGGTGGCTTGTTCTTCATGTTTCTAAGTGAGGCTACCTCATGTTCTTCAGGAAATAATAAACTTTGTAGCCTGCAGCCTTTCTAATTCTTCTATTAGAAAAAGGTAACAGAAGCGTGCAATGTTTTTGAATAAACTACTTTCTGTCTTTGCTGTATCAAGGGGTTTACTTTGAGGGCATCAGGGTTTACTAGTTTGGGCATCAGATTCTAAATTAAAGAATGCCATGAGGAGAAGCGTAGAGGTGATGAGAGAAAAATAGATTGTATTTAAGCGTCTCCAGCATTCTCACTAGGATCTCAATCCTGAGAGAAACGTTGAAATTTATTGTAAGTTGGAGTGGATCTGTATTTGCACATATCCATTAGCTTTTGCTGTGTTTCTTTTAAGTTTAGTGACATGTAAATATGTTAAATTTACAGAGATGATAATGTTCAAAGGGAGCTTCGAGACTGGGGTTTGAGCTTTGACTCCAACTTACTGTCCTTCTCAGGAAGGATTTTGCAAGCAGAAAAGATTCACCAAGGTGGAAAAACAGTAAGGCAGTTTTTAAAGTTGTCAATCAAGTAAGATTTGGGTCAGATCACAATAAAGCAAGTAGGAATAACCTGCTTATGTGCCACATTGATCCTTTCCTCACCTTTCTCTTCTCCACTTTCCCTCTCTGTCAACTCACCGGAGCAGCCCAGGACTTCAGAAGTGGGTGTGCTTGAGGAAGAGAAAATGGGGAAGCGCTAGAGACTATGGAGCCTGTAGCTTGGTCCTCAGAATAATCTGTAAGACTTAGCTAAAAGGTGGCTTAATGTTTTTTCAATAACCTGCGTTACTTTAAGGCATTGAATTCTTCTAACTACCTGATTGGGTTGATACATTGCCACTAAAGTAATCTTTTACATGGAAAACTCGTTATTTGATTGGCTTCATCTTTGCCTGGACCATTTGTTTGTAGAGATAATAATATTAAAAATTATGCCTTTTATAAATAATCTTCAGAAAAGGAAAAGCAAGTATTCTAAAAATTTTTTATGTAAATGAAGCACCAAGTGTCAAAATATAAAAAATAATAGAAAACTCCCCTTCCTGCCTTCTAAATGTTCTATGAATAACAATTTAACAATGTAACTTAATATTTTGGTTGCAATTATTTTTATGATCCCCTGTAGAAATAATAAAAATATGTATCCCTGTGTCAGGGCTCAGGGAAGTGGGCAGGACTCACAGAAGACACTGGGTTTCTCCTCTATGATGACTGGCACGAGGGTGCTGTGCCCTGATTCGTGTTCATTCGTGTTCACTTTCTGCCTTGCCGTCCTATGTTTTGGAGCTTGCTTTTTGCATCGAACACCTCAGTCGGGTTGCTTAACTTTCAAAGCCTTATTTTTTATACCTTCATCATGAAGAAATAACAGGTGTCCTTACAATATTTTAGAAAAGATTAAGGAGAATGCAATTAAAGCACTTAGGAAAGTACCTGGTACAAGTAAGCACTCGAGTAGTAGCTGCCAATATATTTTAGATAAAATTGCCATCATCCTTTGGATACATTTTTGTATCTTTTTCTCCCACGGAAGACATTTTTATCTGTCACTCGAATTCAAATGTATAAGTAGTAGTACACTAAGTTTCAAAGTATGCCATGGTAGAATTATTGAAGACTTTTTGGCTTAATTCCTGAGAACTTACAATGGAATTTACAGTGTCTCTGAACTTTCTTCTAGTTTGATTACAATCCACAGTTTGCAGATTGGTCAAAAGAAACAAGAGGTGCACCGTTAATTAGTGTTAAGCCACTAGATAACTGGCTATTGATCTATACTCGAAGAAATTATGAAGCAGCCAATTCATTGATACAAAATCTGTTTAAAGTTACACCAGCCATGGGCATACAAATGAAAAAAGCAATAATGTAAGTTTATCGATTCATTTCTACTTTGAAAATTAATTAGCACTCATTCGCAGAGAGTGGGAACTCAAAAGTGATGGAGCTACTTGAAACAATAACTAGGTTACCTTAGCTGAAACATTTGCTGTGGTTCCCTATAATGCTAATAAACAGAATTATATTTTAATAACTAAGAATCGGTGGGAGAAAAGATCAATTAGGACTAATTCTCAAATGTATGTGCTTTAAACTATTGCCATTGCTTGTGTTAGAAACAGCCTTTTGCCTAAATGGCTATCATTAGTGTTTGATTTTATACAGAAATGTTTCGTGTCCTATAATATACAGGAAAATGTTTATGTGTGGTACATTTTTTGTCGTTTTTCCTCAATGTTGGATTATGTACTTCCATTCCAGGATCGAAGTGGATGACAGAACTGAAGCCTATTTAAGAGTCTTACAGCAAAAGGTTACATCAGATACCCAGATGGTAAGTAGCTAGTTGATACATAGGCAGTTTTCAGTGATGACATCTTTCAAAGGGGCATTTGTAAATCTTGGAGTCTTGAGTTCATTTTCCAAATGTTATAATTAGGTTCCCAAACTAGCCACAAAATATATTTTATTTACATAAAGTAGCTAAACTAATGCTAGCTTTAGTTGTGTGCTAGGAGCTTGTTATTGTGCTCTGCAAAAGGCATGGAGGGCTGGAGAAAAACAAAGCCATCTTCAATTTATTCAGACTCAGAGGCTTTATTTATTGTAGAAAATTTGGAAAAAACAGGCATTAAAGTAGAAACCAGCTCTTAGTTGTTCAGCACACATGGAAGTATAATCGTGTGATTAAATAGAAACTTTCTGGACAGTCTGGTGTAAGATCTGTCTCAGTGAGTGGGCTAGCCCAGGTAAACATGAAACTCAGAAGTTTGTAGACTTTAGTGGGCATCCACATCACCCGGAGAGTTTGACAATATAGATGGAGCCACTCTCCTAAGCTCTTTCACCTTTTATCCTTGAATGTGCTGTTGTGTCTTTTGCCCATCCGTCCGGGTGAGTGAGGGATGCCTTGGAGAAGGTGAGGAACAGATACTGCTGTTTGTGGAGTCTTACCGTGTAGTGTGTGCTTATGGGAGCTGCAGAGTGTCAGGGCCTGGAGATGAGGGCAGCCACTTAAGGTGGATGATTTTTATCTGTAATCTGAAATTTTCGGTTTCTAGGTCCAGTTTTTGGTTTTTTGTTTTTGTTTTAATCTGTAGCATAGTCATTAAGAGTGTAAACTGCAGTCAAATCCCTGGGTTCATGTCCTGGCGCCGCCATTCGTATGGGCTTGGGCATGTGCTTCTGGTTTTATTTCCTTCTCTGAGAACAGTTTGGTAGTGGTAATAGCAATAACAGTGAACCTTCATGACGCTTCTGAGGTGAAATGGCATCATCATACCTGGTGCTCCATTTTGTTCCCAAAATTGTCCATGGACTGCCTAGGAAAGTTTATAGTTTGATCAGATTCTCAAACCAGAGCTTTAAAGTTTAAAAGTTATGCTCCTAACTGAATCGTAAATTAAAACTGTGGAAAATCTTGTATTTGTCCACCTGTCAGTGATCACTAACTTGCATTGCCCTGTTCCCTGTCTCTAAATCAGTCCAGGCTGGTCACATAAAGCATATGTAACTAAGTTCTGGAATTTAAATGGTATTCAGTTTCAAGTGACATAGTTGCTTAACATGATTTCTTTCCTTTATGAGCATTTGTCATTTGGTTGAATATAATGAGCAGTATCTAGAAGTTCTTACTGTCATGCCAATTGGCTGTATGGCAGAAATGAATAGTAAAGTAAATGACAGTGCTTGGCATTCATACCTCACAGCTGGGCCTCGTTTCCTGTCCTCTCCCTTGAACTTAATCATCAGTTCCCTAATTCTTTGTAATGAGGGCATTTTGTTTGTTTTTAGGTTGTCTGTCTATTGTCAAATAATCGGAAGGACAAATACGATGCTATTAAAAAATACTTATGTACAGATTGCCCTACCCCAAGCCAGTGTGTGGTGGCCCGAACCTTAGGCAAGCAGCAAACGGTCATGGCCATTGCTACAAAGATTGCCCTGCAGATGAACTGCAAGATGGGAGGAGAGCTCTGGAGGGTCGACATGCCTGTGAGTTTTAATTAACTGGTAGATACACTTTTAAAATTGATACTCAAGAAAATGGACTTAGTCTTCAAATGTTGCTAGTACTCTGTGGCATCTAAAATTATATTTGTTATTAAAGCTGAAGCTGGCGATGATAGTTGGCATTGATTGTTACCACGACACCACCGCTGGACGGAGGTCAATTGCAGGATTTGTTGCCAGCATCAATGAAGGAATGACCCGGTGAGTGAGGCTGGGCAGCTGTAGGTGACGCTGTGGGTGACAAAGACCACAGAGGACTAAAGCTGGGGCTGGCGTCTGGGGGTAGGAGGTGCAAGAGCAGGGTTCATTCTTTATTTTTATCCTGCTGGTTTCTCTATAGTACCCACCAAAAAACTTAGAAAAGTTATTATTACCTACACTACCCCCTCATTGGCCTTAATTCTGTAGTATTCGAACTGCATTTCAGTTTATTTTTAAAATATTGTATTAGAGGGTACATCTC